TACAGCAAAAGAGCAATGGAAGGAAGTGAAGGACAACAGAGTTAGAAATGTAGTAAATCAAAACACTAGTCTCAATAATAATGGAATGGAGATGGCACCAACTAAGCAGCTTGAAAACAATAAGAAAAAGGAGGGTACAAGCACTGTAGATAGACAAGCAGAAGCACAAAGCAACAGTGGTAAGGAATTGGTGGCAGTAGACAATGAAGATAATGATCATGTCCAAGTAGCTAACAAGTTTGCAATATTACAAGGGATGGATGAAGAGGAAGAACCTGTTAATCAATTGGCAATGGTGGCAGCTAATGCAGCAACAGACAGTCCAGCAGTTCATAACCAAGCATCTACAAAGCAAAAACCAAAACATATGGTCAATAATGAGGGAAAGCTAAATCCAACAGCACAAGCTTTTCGTCTTAACTCATCGAGTATTGGTTCAAATAATGGTCTAGTCAATGGAAAGGAGGCATCAAAAGAAAAAAACGATACTACACAATGGGTAGAAAGAAGTTTCAAGGATAAAACAGGAGATGGAATAGTGAAGATCAATACATCATGCCAGGAAATCCCATCACAAGATACATTTGTGAACAAGAAACTTAATAAAACTCAAAATACTCAAGCAGAAGGGTCAAAATCGTCTATATTTAAAGAAAGAGTGCAAGGCCGTGGAGGCAGGCTATGGGATGCACAAAGGGAATACGATTCAGAGGAGAACGAAGTACCACTAGGAGCACAAGCTGATGAGGAACCAAATGAGAAGGACAAAGAATAAGATGAGCAAAGTGCAAATGAGCAAAGTGTAAATAGAGAGCTCCATGCCAATGGCAACAATACAACTGGTAATTTTCTAATAATGGGAGGATCAGAAATTGTTGAGCACAACAATAATTATCAGATAACAGAAGTCACAGAAATTAGAAACCATGAATGAAGAGGCCTAGAGGTAAATGATCCTGGAGGAACAGAAGACGATAAACTTCATAAATCACAAGAAGACCCACAAGGACTCAACCCAACAGAGAAGGAGAAACAACCAAAACAAAAAACAGAAATAGTAAATGCTACTGTTACATTGGAGAAAAAGCAGTTGCAGCTGTTAAAACGAGGAGAAGAGAAGGCCTTGGTCCCTAAAAAGAATGCATGTGGAGCTACATCAGGAGGGAAGAAAGACAATGAAGAAGGAGAAGAAACTGGTAGATCAGGATACGACATGGATCATGAATCAACTACCCAACACCTTATGAATGCTGCAAGGCAAGGTGACTTATCACTTACACAAGTGGAAAAGGCAAAATCAGCAGCAAAGGGTAAGAAGAAGCAATAAAAAGATAATTTTGCAGCCCCAAAACCCAGGGTGCACACAAGGAGAATGCTAACTAAATCAAACAATCAGTGATGAATGCTCTCATTTGGAATATAAGGTCAGTCAACACACAGCAGGCCTTTGAAAGGTTGACAAAAATACACAGGAAAAATCACTGTGAATTTGTAGGATTAATGGAGCCAAAGCAACAAGCAAAAAAACTGGAAAGGTACAGAAACAAGATAGGACTTGCACAAGCAATTTCAAATGTTTCCAACAAGATCTGGGCTTTTATAGATGAGGTATTTGAGGTAACTGTTATGTACAATATGGTGCAACAATTAACACTACGATTGTTTCATACTGAATCGCATGTGAAATTTGTCCTAACATTGATATATGCTAAATGTGATGCAATTGAGAGGATAGAATTATGGGATTCATTATATGCAATGGCAAGGGATATAGATGTACCATGGCTTGTAGGAGGAGATTTCAATGTAATATGGGACGAAGAAGAGAAGTTTGATGGGTTACCGGTGTCATTGAATGAAATTGATGATTTTCGACACTGCGTCAACACTTGAAATATCTTCGACCTTGGATTTAAAGGTAGCATATTTACATGGTGGAATGTGAAAGCAGAGGAAGACTATATATTCAAAAGGCTAGACAGATGCTTGGCCAATCTTCAGTTCCAACAAACATTTCCAAGAATAGAGGTGCAACATTTGTCAAAGACTGGTTCCGATCATAGTCCAATGTATCTGAAGTGTGATATTGAGACTCCACCGATAAAAAAACCTTTTAAGTTCTTGAATTTTTGGGTGGAACATGCAACCTTTAAAGATGTGGTGAAAGAGAATTGGACAACTGATTTCAGTGCAAATCCTTATATTATTTTTAATCACAAGTTAAAAAAATTAAAGAAGGCCCTTTCATTGTGGAGTAAGGCTAAATTTGGATATATTTTCCAAAAGATAGCAAGCATGGAGGAGGTAGTGATGGTTCATGAAGCAGAATTTGAAGCAAATCCTACAGGGATAAACAGGGAAAGGCTACAAAAGGTTCAGGCAGAATTGATCAAATGTCTTGCACTAGAGGAGAAATATTGGCAACAAAAGGCAGGCATGACTTGGTTCAAGGAAGGGGATAGGAACACTAAGTTCTTCCATGAACAAGTGAGAGGTAGGAGAAAGAGACTTCAGCTTAACAGAAATCAAAATAGTGGAGGAACATGGATTGAAGATGAATAAGAAATTGCAGAAGAAGCTATCAAATTCTACGAGGAACAGTTCACAGAAGCAACTACTCCTTCATTATTTGATATCGTAGAGCATGTTCCTAATCTTATTAACACTAAGCAAAATGCGGAATTGATTAAGCAGCCAACAAAAGAGGAGGTTAAAGTGGCAGTGTTTGGACTTAATGGTGATAGTGCTGGGGGGCCAGATGGTATGACAGGCAAATTATATCATTCTTGTTGGGACATAATAGGGGATGACCTGTACGACATGGTGAGGGCTTTTTTCAATGGTCATGAGCTACCAAAGTGTGTAACATACACCAACCTAGTTTTGTTACCAAAGAAAAAAGAAGTTACCACTTTTTCTGATTTAAGACCAATAAGCCTCAATAATTTTTCAAATAAGGTTATATCGAGGGTCGTACATGAAAGGCTAGTGAAATTTCTCCCAAGTCTGATATAGGAGGAACAATCAGGTTTTGTTAAGGGCAGGAATATAGTAGAAAACATCCTTCTAACTCAGGAGATAGTGACTGACATTAGGCTTAGAACTAAGGCTGGACCTAACTTCATCCTTAAGCAAGATATGACCAAAGCTTATGATAGATTATCTTGTCTATTCCTAACAAAGGTACTAAGAAAGATAGGATTCACAGAAAGGTTGATAGAGATTGTCTTTGGATTAGTTTCAAACAATTTGTATTCTATTCTAATCAATGGTCAAGATCATGGTTTCTTTAAGTCCTCAAGGGGAGTAAAACAAGGTGATCCTATATCACCAACTTTGTTTATCTTGGTAGCAGAAGCATTATCTAGGGGTCTCAATGCACTACATACTAACCTGTATTTTTGTGGATTTGGGATGCCAAAGTGGAGTCCAAAGATCAATCATTTGGCGTATGTAGATGACATGATTATTTTCTCATCCTCAGATGAAACATCTCTAATGTTGATTATGCAAGTGATGAATGCATATGAAGCTGCATCCGGGCAGCTTGTTAACAAAACCAAATCAGCTGTGTACCTGCATCATTTAACACATATGGAAGTGATCAACAAGGTGGAAAGGATCACAGACATTCATAGGAATGATTTTCCTATCATATATCTAGGTTGTCCTATATTTTATGCAAGGAGAAAGCTAGAATACTATCAGCCCTTAATTACTAAGGTAATGGACAAACTGCAATCTTGGCAGGGCAAATTATTATTAGTAGGGGGCAGGGCAGTTCTCATATCCCATGTACTGCAAAGCATGCCTATGCATCTACTATCAGCTGTAAACCCTCCAAATTATGTGATAAATAGGTTGCACAAATTGTTTGCTCAGTTTTTCTGGAGCAGCTCTGTAGGAGGAACTAGTAGGAATTGGGCTTCATGGAGTATCTTATGCATGCCAGTTGAGGAAGGAGGAATAGGTTTCAGGTCACTGTACGATGTAGCAAAGGCATTATTCAGCAAGTTGTGGTGGAATTTTAGAACAAAACCAAGCCTATGGAGCTCTTTTGTATGTCAGAAATACTGTAAGAAAATGAATTCAGTAGTTGTTCCATGGAAAAGGGGGTCAACATTTGGAGAAAAATGTTGGAATGCAGAGATCTGATTGAACATCAAATCTTTTGGCAAACAAAAAGGGGATCCTCACTTTTTTGGTTTGAAAATTGGACAGGTCTTGGGGCACTATATTTTTTGGTTCCTCAAGACTTTGGCATTGATGAAATAGTACAAAATGTACATGGGGTTACCTTAGATGGTGAGTGGGATGTGGACAGACTATTTGAAATGCTTCCTGAAGACTTAGTAGTACACATTATGGAGAAAATCAAACCACCTTCACCTCAGCAGATTCTTGACATGCCTTTTTGGATGCTGGAAACAAGAGGATATTTCAGTGTTAAGTCAGCATGGGATTATACGAGAAGAAGAGACGAACCAAGAACAGTTTATAGGATGATTTGGGTAAAGAGAATGCCTTTTAAAATAGCATTTTTATGTGGAAAGTGTGGAAAGCAAAGTTACCTTTAGATGATTTCTTGAAAAGGGTAGGCTACTGCATGACATCAAAATGTTGGTGTTGTGTAGAGCCTGACGAGGAATCTCTTCAGCACTTGTTTTTTAAATCAGAAACTGCAAAGTCAACTTGGAAGTATTTTCTATCGAGAGCAGGAATAGCTGTGGAGGGACTTACATTGCACCAAGCAATCACAAAATGTTGGACTGCAAATGTGTGCTTAAGGCTCAAACCAGTAATGCAAGCACTCCCCTCATGTGTAGTATGGGAACTTTGGAAAAGAAGAAATAGTATGAAGTATGGTGATGCTGTGACAACTAGCAGGGTGATTTATCAAGTTTCATCAAATCTCCAGGCATTGGTGAAAGTGAGAAAGCCTGGGATGGACATGGTACCTCACAAATGGCAAGATCTATTAGCTATGATGGAAAATTTCACTCCTAAACTTAAGGTCACCAAAATCATGTGGGAATTTCCAAGTGCAGGATGGCTAAAAGTTAATACGGATGGTGCATCGAGGGGAAATCCAGGCAGGAGCTCAATAGGTTTTTGTATTAGAAATGAAAATGGAGACATAGTCAAGTCAGTAGGGAGGGAGATTGAGGAGACAACAAACACAGTAGCTGAAGCGAAGGCCATGGTAGAAGCACTAAGGTTTTGTAGATTTCAACAATACTCTCATGTATGGCTTCAAACTGACTCAATGTTATTAAAAAAAATTATGGATGGGATCTGGAAACCACCATGGATCATATCTGAGCAGGTAGAGGAAATGATGCAACTAATGAATGGGGGCAATTACACAGTTACTCATATTCATAGGGAGGGCAACAAGCTGGCAGATCACTTTGCTAATTATGCTTTAGATCATGGAGAAATAGAATGCCAACAATTCTGGCATCTAGATGCATAGGGAAGAAGGTTGGTTAATGATGATAAGCTGCAATGTCTAAGTATAAGGGTGAAGGTGGACAGGAGATAAGAAGCAAATAGAAAAGGAAGAGCAGGAGGTGCCACATGCTTATGGCACTCAATGCTGCAACTTTCGAGATAACATTTGCTAAAAAACAAAAACACATCAATAAACAAGATGGGCACGTGAAGTAATGCACAGTAACAGATAACAAATTTTGGAGTTTGTACCAGCACGCTAGGGAATTTGTACGAAATGCAGGTCTTTAATTGTTTTATGACTGGAACATGGGACAATGCAAACATCCGGCTAATTAGCATTGAGGGCTGTAGTGATTTCGAGAAAGTGCGCACATGGTTTAATGTGGAAAGCGTGAAGCCTGTCTCTTGGTCTGGGCAGCGCAATCGAGTCAAAAGGAATGCAGGAACGGAAGAACAAGCACACGCGTGTAGTTGCTTGTTTCAAAAAAACTTGATACACAAATGGATGGTGGCAGCTGTCACAACCAAAGCAGCTGGGGCTTGCGATTTGGGGAGTAAAATACCAACATGAAGGAACGCATGCTTTCACATGGAAATGCACGCTGGAAGTTAATGCATGCTGGACAGGAGTGCTTTTGATATTTGAGCATGTAATACGGTTGCACAATTCGAGAAATGATAGTGCATGGGCTTCAATGTTTAATACATTACACGATGCATCATGGGTATTTTAACACAATGCACGCTTCAGCTTCTAAGTGCTATTGTCCAATTTTTAATTCTTTGTTACAAGCATGCGTTTTGGAGCTTGCCTATGGAAGGAAACACGAGGCACACATGGATGCTGGCATTTTTCAAAACCAAAGCAGCTTGCCAGTGCTTTCTTTGGAGGAAAGCACGCCTCTCATGGAAATGTATGTTAGAAATGTAAAACATGCTGGACAAGAATGCTTTGGACATTTGAGCATGCACTTGATCTGCACAATTCGAGAAAAGATGGATTACAGCATGTGCGACCTCAGGGATGCAATTTATGGGCTAATTTTTGATACAATGATTAGTAATACTTGTGATATCATTTTTGAGTGATCTACTCAATTTTGATAATAGGGTACAAGTATTTTACAAAGTTTATGCTTTACATTTCGTAGGACATCAAGACATTTGTATTTCTTATTTTTATATATATAAAATCTAGCCCTAGGCGCATGCCTAGCGGAATGCCAAAAAAAAAAAATAGATTAATCACTCATCGTGGTATTTACAATAATTAATTAAATCCTAAATTTAAAGAAAAGCTATACCATTCAAAATTAAAAAGTTAAAATGCAAAATGAACTATTTTTGTGATTTTCATTTTTTATAATACAAACTAATTTACTAATTAATCTAAAAAATATAAAATTAAATCCTAAATGCAGTGCGTGATATTTTGTATTTTCATGAATTAAATAAAATAAACATGCACAGACAAATGCAAATAATTAACAGAAAATGCCACAAAATCCAATAAAATTACAAACATTGAAGGAAATTATTTTGTTTTGAATTTGTTAGAATAATTCATATAGGGCAAAAATTACGTGCTCACAATGAAATGAACTAATATTAAGAATCTGAATCAACCAAAAATAAATTAATTTTTTATATTAAAACTAAATAATCAAATCTTTCAATTAATTATTTAGCAAGAGAATCCAAATAAATTATTTTTTAATTTCATCATATGAGTAAAATTATTTTTCAAGTTAAAAAAATCTTAGGGTACATAATTTTATTCCATAAAAAGAGTGTTAGAGATTAAAAAAATTAGATCACAAAGTAAAAAAGATTAGTGTAATATTAAGAAGGCCATACAAGTATTTGAGGTAGCACAATCAAAGCTAAATCTTTAACAAGAATAACTTTTTAGGACTATATTATAAAAAGTCGACTCTAGTATAACGGGATTATCCTTTGTAGATGTGTAACAACCCGATTGGTCCTTTTGTTTTCTAGAATCCCGTCCCCCTAAATAAGACTTCCCCACTCGCTTTAACTGATTTACAACTTGCAGGGATGACTGGTTCAGGATTTGGAAGAGTTTGGGTTGAAAAAGGTACACTTGATTCCCTAAGATTTGCTTAAAAGGCTAAGTTTGACTTTTTTCAACATTTTTAGTAAACGGACCCTGACTTGTGTTTTGACGGTCCCAGAGGGTTCGTAGAAAAATATGGAATCTAGGTGTATGCCCGGAATCGAATTCCGAGGTCCCTAGCCCGAGTAATAAATTTTTGTTAAAAATTGTTCTGAAATTCTAAGGATTTAAAGAAATTAAATAATGTTTGATCATGTTGGTATCCGGCCTATATGTTGGTTTCGGAGCCCGGTACAGGTCCAATATAACATTTAAGTCTTGTCTGTGAAATTTGGTGATAAACGGGAGTGATTTAACGTGATTCAGATGTCCGGTTGTAAAAATAGGAATATGAATGTTCTTCAGGATTTCATGTGTTTTGGTGTTGAAGCCGTAGTTTTAGATGTTATTTCGGCGATTTGATCGCTCGATCAAGTTTATACAATGTTGTTGGACTTGTGTGAGTATTTGGAGTGGAGCCCCGAGGGCTCGGGTGAGTTTCAGGCAAAGGTTGGGGGTGAAAAACACCCCAGTTTTCTGGTATTTTTGGGCAAGGTTGCAGGTCTCGCAAATGCGAGGAAATTGTTCGCATTTGCGAACACGTATTTGCGAGGTAAACATCGCATTTGCGATGAAGCCTGGCTGGGGCAGTGGTCATATTTGCGACGTTACCTTTGCATCTGCGACCCCAGCAGGGTACACATTTGCGACCCCTCTGTCGCATTTGCGATCAAGGCAGAGGAAGGCCCAGTTCGCATTTGCGAATGTTTTGTCACAATTGTGACTTCGCATTTGCGAGCCTGGTGTCGCAAATGCGACATCAGAGGCCTGGACACAACTTTAATAAACATGACTTAGGCCATTTATTTCATTTCACTTCTACACTTGGGCGATTTGGGAGCTCTCAAAGAGGGGATTTCAACCTAGCATTATGAGGTAAGTTATTTCTACTTAATGTGAGTTTAATACTTGGGTTTTGGGTAGATTAACACACAAAAATTAGTGAAAATCATGAGATTTGAGTAAAAACCTAGGGTTTTGATAAAAACAAGATTTAACCATGAAATTTGTTATGGAATGCAGTAAAAATCATATATTCTTGATCCTTAGGCTATGAGTAACAACTTTCTTCAAATATTTTCGGGATCCGGGCACATGGGTCCGGGGTCGAATTTTACGAATCTTGTAATTTTATTGGGGAATCACCCTAATGGTTGGGATATGAACTTTTAAGCCTATATTGATTAGTTTTTCTGCTATTTGGATAGTTTTGGAGTGTTTGGCACCAAATTTGAGGGTTTGGGGTTAAGCTTGGATCGGAAAGTAGGCCGTGAAGCGAGGTAAGTCTCTTTTCTAACCTTGTAAGAGTGAATATTCCTATAGGTGAACTTAATTAATACGCGATTTCATTGTGGGGGGCCACGTACACACGAAGTGACGAGAGTCCGTACGTGGCTACTATTCCTGTTATGTCCGGATAGTTCTAGGCTTACACCATGCTTTGTGTGTAATGTTATACGATTATAAAATATGGAGTTCCATTGATTGAAACCTCGTTGAGAATGTTATGATTTCAAGGTTTCCAAGTAAATAATTATTTGAAACGAATTAAAGAAGCATTTAAGTTGTATTTATACTTAACCGCATCGCAAGTATAAACCGCGAGCGGGGTGATTGTTTCCACTACTCTCATGGGAGCAGGCCGTTCGCCTCAGCAGATTGGTAATTGTGTGTGTATATATATATATATATATATATGGCTCGGGCTGTTCGACCCTCGGCAATGCACAGTTTATTTTTATGTTGGATCGAGCTGAACGTCCTAGGCGGAAATTGTGTGATAATGGAATCGAGACTTCTTATAATCTGTATGATTTATTGTTTGAAAGACTACATACTTTAAAAGAAGGAAATGTCTAGACGCATTAATTGATGAGAAGGTTTTCAGTATTATTTCTTATTTGAACTTGCTTCTATCTATGTACATTGTGAACTGATCTATTGAACCTCATATTATCATATTATTGACCCTAGTAGGTGTCAAGTCGACCCCTCGTCACTACTTCTTCGAGGTTAGACTAGATACTTACTGGGTACATATTATTTATGTACTCATATTACGCTTCTCTACATAATTGTATTCTGAGGCAGGTGCATCTGGTTACCTTTCTGGTGCACATTCTTGATAGTTGGTCGAGATTCCATAGTGAGCTGCTCCCTTCCTATGTCGTTCAACAGCATGATGGAGTCTCTCTTTTGTTTTTGTCCGTCTATTCCTCTTCAGACAATAGGGTAGACGTATTCTTTTGTATATTCTACTAGATGCCCATATACTTGTGACAATAGGTCTTGGCACACAAATTGGCAGACTATTCTTTTGGGTTGTATAATTATCATTTTACGTTGCTAATTATCACTTGTTTTAAATTCAAATTTAGAAAATGCTGGAATTCTTTTGGTAAAGTAAAATGTGAGTTCACTAATATTTCGGGTTGGCTTGCCTGACAATGGTGTTGGGCGCCATCACGACTTGTAATGAAATTGGGTCGTGATAATATGGTATCAGAGCACTAGGTTCACGTAGGTCTCACAAGTCATGGGCAACCCTAATAGAGTCTTGCGAATTGTTACGGAGACGTCTGTATCTATCTTCGAGAGGCTATAGGGTGTTAGAAAAACTACTCTTTATTCATCTCATATCGTGCAGTTGATGGTATACTAAATTACCTTATCCTATTCTCTCACATATGGTGAGGACACGCACGACAGATGTTCCAAACCCGGGAGGAGCTACTCCACCCGTTGCTTGAGGCTGGGGGAGGGCACCGGCCTAAGGAAAGGGATAAGAGCGTTCCAGAGCTTCCCTAGTTGTACCACAGGTAGATCCTATAGGGGATCCTATC